TATATATATATATATAAAAGAAAAAAATGTAGAGTTACTGCTCACAATCCTACTTGTGTTATTCATTATTAAAAAAAATAGAACACACCTGAACCATAGGATCAGATTTTGCTAGACGTTTCAGACCTTCTACAAGTTTGGGCAGGTCAGCAGGATTTTGAGGTTCAACAGCAACTCTCACTACAGGACTTACAGAGAATTTCATCACCTGAATTGAAGAACAGAAGTTTTCAAAACTTACAATATACATCTTCACTAATGACAAGTAGAGCTTCTGCCACTGTTTCAAACGAGCACTAGACATATCAGCGCCAGGATTGCTAATTTAATACAAAAAAAATTAATATTTCATATCTTTAACACAACCTTGCACTTGGTACTTCAGCATGCATCCATCACTGTCACACTTAACAGATGAAACTAATTTACTTTTACTTAACATTCATATTTTTTCCTTAGAAGAATATATTTAAAATTCTACACTTGCACATAGAAAAAATCCTAGTGAATAAATCAAGAGAAAAATAACTATCATATGGAAAGCAGATACTTTTATTCATTCAGACTGACACCAACACTATGAAATATATCAGTATATCAGATCCTCAGAAGAACACAACTTACCTTCATGTTATGTGCATCTTTGAATGTGGAAATGGTACCAGTTTTTACTAAAAACTGATCTACACCAACCAGTCCACAGATGTTTCCACATGGAACGTCTTCAATTGGTTCTACGTACCGACCCATCATAAGTATAGTTCTGAAATACAAGTTCCCTTAATTTACTATATTCATACATTGTAATGGTGCAAAGTAAAACAAGCGAGATTTATGATTTTTTTGCTAACTAATTTAGATACTTTATAACATTAAATTTTCAAACTAATTAAAAAGGTATTAATTACTCTAGCCACAAATTGACAAGACCTATTAAAGTTTAAAATCAATTGTACAAAAGCTACCTGAGCTCAGCCCATTTTATTCATCTTGTTTAAGCAGATTAACATTTTAGAAGTGACTTTAACCCCTGACACAGAGGTACCCCTTTAAACTTTTGTGCAATGCACTGTTACATTCAAAATTTAATTAACATTATGATGTATGTTATGATTCAAAGTTATATTTTCTAAGTTAAGTCCTTTATTTCAAATGAAACCTTTACGAAATTCTACTTTTGTACTCCGTATCTTCAATAATATGATACCAGTTGTGTAGATGTACATCTAGAGGATAAGATGTTTACACTTCAAAGTTCTCTGCAAGAATGCAGTTGGAACAAATAATAAATTTTGTTAATTCCTCACTGGTGCCATACTCACTTTCAATAGATTTGTTTGAGCTTTATAGCCTACATATAGAGGTTACATACACGAGTATATAGTCATTAGAAAGAGCTCATTTTACACTATATCCAACAATGGTTACTTTGAAATTGGCATGCAGTTCGTCACAGGGTACATATTACTGCCTGTAGTATTGTTGGCTGCTTGATCAACTATAGCATTAAATATGTTATAATTAGAGATACAGTTAAATGGTAGTTAGGTCTTACTTTTATATTTTAATTAATTGTGTTATTTATGTTTTAAAATGTATAATTGAAAGATAAACATTGTAAAAATACATCATACTTTGCATCAGTTCTCAAGGATTACAATATTACATGGTACAAGAAAATTTTTCCATAGGGCACATCTCTGCCAGAGGGTACCACTGACTTGTGTCAAGATGTATAATAAATGGTAAAGAACAAGAAAGAAAAACAAGACATTAAAAATAAACCATGTTTGAAAGAAAAGACCTGAAATTATAAATATAAACAAAAGAAGAGATATAGATATTCTAAAAAAATTGAAAGGTATGTACTTTTTTCTATTTCCTAATTATAATCATTTTCATTGCATTGTACGTTAATAATAGCTAGCTGTAGTTGATAGTATTACCAATATTAGTTGATACACTGAAATTAGACTATGTTCACACACACATATTAAAGTAGTTATCCATTAATTACACGTAGCATATATAATGGGATAAAACATCCACCTGATATTTCTCTTAGAACTGCATCAAAAAAATCAGTATTAATATCAATGTGTTGTTAAAAATTTCCAATTCTGAAACATCACACTATCAGCTGTGTTCAAAAATGGTAGATAAACAGTGGAATATCTGAAAACGTATTGCTTGTAAGTTTATAAAATTAATCTCACAAATTCAAGATTTCCTACTGAATTTGAAATAACTGGGGTATCAAAATTCATACTGAAGTTTACTGACAAATACAATTACCACCTCGGTGCTTCATTTTATAGTTTATCCAAGAGGTTAATAAATCTGAAGTCATAGGTATACCCTGAGAGCAAATGTTTTTCTGAGGTAGTTTTAAATTATCTACAATTGATGCAAATAACCAGAAATTTTGGATCTATTTTTACACAAACATCCCCATCAACATACATAATCCATATTGAAACAACTTATTTTGCCTACCTTTGAACGGACTTTTCGACAATGTCTTCTTTCTTGCCTGGCACATAATTAGGACCCATGATACGACACTTCAAACCTGATGATACAGTTCCAGAAAATACTCGGCCAAATGCATAGAAACGACCTTTATCAGTGGTAGGAACCATCTTTGATATGTACATCATCAAATGTCCATTTGGATCACATGCCTTGATGGCTAAGAGAAATATTTCAAATGAATAAACAAAAGTTACAAAAATTCTATTCGGAGATCTATCCGAGTGTTTCTTTAGTTCAAACCTTAGACAAAAACACAGTGGAGCTTTGGGTAAAAACAACTGCATCATGCTGCATACCACTAAACATATTTCAATTAATACTTTCACAAAAAGTTCAAGATAAACCAGTACAAAATAACATTACTTTCATGCAGTGAAACACTTTTTATTGAACCATGTGTTCCAAATGCAGTGTTAAAACAATTTTCTTGAAATACAAAGACACCTTTGATACTATATTACAACACTTCTTTACACACACATCAAAATTAGCAATATCTAGAAACCGAGGTATTGGCAAAGTAAATATTTGTATAACATCACACTATTGGAAATTTGGTATTTTGGGATATTAACATTGGGCTTTGGCAATAGTTGAATCTAATCTTATTAGTAATGCATCCTAATTGTGAAGCTTTCACAGCATAGTACAATAAAAGATCTTAACACTTATTCAGCAAAGTGCATTCTGATCACATTAGTCAGCTTTTGGCAAAATACAACAAAGATAAAGTTTGTGACAAAAGTATTTGTCATGCCATAAAATTCTTCATAAAAGTAGCCATGACGAAAGAAGTAGCACAAAGAATCACTAATAAAATTCAACTAGATTTTAAAGACCCAAAAACTTGAGATATTTACAATAATTGACAATTTTTCTTCAGAAGTAAAAAACATTAAAGATTGTGTTATAAAATATACGGAAAAGAAGCACACATCACATGAGAAGTAAGTATTTGTTGAGTTGACTACAAAATACAGCTGGGCAATTATTAGTATTTGCTAACTGATTCAATCAACAGACCCATTAATCAACTGCACTGGATAAATCTATTACTAAATACACTTTTCCTCAAACCATGTATATACATGTAAAAAATTAAATTGGTGAAAGTATTGTTAGTCATTTACCTTCCACCTGTTCAGCATTTTAAGATAAGTGACAGGTAATTAGTACTTTGCCATAATAAAGGCAGGGTGAACAAGTTTTGATGGCAATTGGAAACTCAAGACCACCGCAACTCACTCTGAAACCACCAAAGGAAAAAACAAACAAAAATAACAGACTAAAATTGAGCAAACACATTACCTATAATGTAGCTTTTTGCTTAAGAAACAATATTTTGATTGCTTAGATGGTTAAATTAATCTAAATTAATAATAAATCAAAAATACAACCGGAAATACCAATTTTAAATAATCAACTACCTTACATGACACTAATCGATGTAGTCACTGCTAGTAAGCAACTGATTAAATTGCCTGGCTCTTATACACGTGTCATTAACTCTCTTAACTATTTTGTACTTGTTAGTTTCCATACTATAACTTTTAATACAGTACACATATCTTCACAAAATTTTGCAGATTAGCAGGAAACATTACAAGGCTTTCATATACAAAATGTTAGATTTTTTTTTCAAGTTTTAAGATTAAGTAATGATACGTTCATGCATTTTTTTTTCTTTTCAAATGTTGACTATCCAACATGCAAAGTTATTTTGATTTTAAAATAACCAAAAATTACCATATCAATAACATAAAATTTCACTATAATTTATCAAGCTTAGTAACTAAGCTGTTTTTAGGACTAAAAAAATTAAATTTCAAGTTCACTAGTCTTATCTTACAGCTTGAAATCTAGCATAAAAAGAAAGTCCTCAAAAGGAAATATTTCAAAATGGTTGAGAAAGCCACTAGGGGGACATTCTGAGTGTTTGATTGGTTATTCACATTTCATAGACAGAAGTAGGTGTAGATGAGTAAGCTTCTAAAAATGGAAAGAAGCAGGCAAAACCACCATTTCAGTAAATGTAGCAATATATCAGCAAATAGAAGGTTCTTATTTTATATTTTAACTTTTCAATATCAGTAATTTGAGTTCCTAATTCATAAGAAACCACAGACTTTGTATTTTAATATCATAAACATCTAATCTGAACCAATGCAGCATTCAATACACTATGTGACACACAAATATTCAGGATTTCTTTGATATTTACTTTTAAATTAAGAAATTAACTAATGTATAATACTAACATTTGATTTATAATCTACAATTTGATATAAAACTTACTGAAATACATTCATAAGATAGTGATTCAATAAAATTTTGAATGAGAGTCAACAAACACGATGATATGACCTTCAACCCATGATGATAGGGTTAATATTTTAAGGTTATCATTTATGGACAGATATTTTAGTCTCACAGAACTTTTCTTTTAATCCTTTTTTCCAGCCAGGTTATTTCAAGTTTTAGCCAGAAAAAATATGGGATATAAAATTTTGAAAAGTTAATGTATCCAAACAAATTGATTCCAAAATAAAATTTACTGAAATATGTTAATTATCTTTTGAGATAAGTTCAACTTGTCAATAGACAAAACAGACAGAAATACAGATACATGACAATGTAAAAGCTAATTTCTAGCTAAAATAGTACATTTTTGAAATTGGTGATGTCAAAAAATGTAAAATTTAACTTTCTGGATGTTTTTTTGTTATACCTTTTATTTCTAAAGTTTTCAAAATCTTAAACCAGGGATTTTTTTCTAGCAACTTGTTACTTCCAATTAATCCAACATAACATATAATGTAGGACTGCTGGACTATCATTCTGAATGGTACAAGATTTCTTTTCACATTATCAATATAGCAGGTCCAAAGCGAAGGAAAAAGTCTAACAGTAAAAATACATTATTCCCTAAATGTTAATATTTAGCGAATTAAAATGTAGGAAATTTCTTCACTTCTCCCATCTTAGAGGCCAAAAAATACAATGAATTTACTTAAATCTTTAAGAATTTAAATTTTCTATTAATACTTTGATACCTTAAATGTATAAAGAAAAAGATAAATAAGATCAAAACCATTTTATCCTACAGCTTACGACACTTATCAATGAAAACTACTAGGTCAAGTTCGAAAAATATCACTTATTTAACTTGTTTTTATATGAACCAGTTAAGCTACTGAACACAAAGTTGATGGAAATTAGATTTAAAACTACAGATTCTTAGGGAATAAATAAGAGCAACTGTGAAAAATAAAACCTTATTGTATAAACTCACCTACAGCAGCCTCATCATCTAATGGCCCTTCATAAAGCATTTCCATACGGTACTTCTGGGCAGTCACTGGTGAAGGCAAGTGAATGGTGATCATCTGGAGAAGAGAGTCACCAGCAGGAAGCCAAGTTCGCATCACCACCTAACAATTTCAGAGCCCATTGATGAATTAAGGAAACATACAATACCTTTCAAATGTAATTGTTATTCTATATTAGTAAGAAGATGAGAGAGACATCTACATTTGTTTTTATTTAGGGATTATTTAAAACCTTAAGTACTTAAAACATTTTTCCAAATTGCTTAACCCTTTTGCAATGGGCTTGGAATAATAAACACGAGTTAAATATTTATACTACAACTTTTAACCCGATGACGACAGACTACTTAACTTTCTGCATAGCCAATGCAAGTCTTGCTATATTTTGTTTCAACAATAAAACTAGTGGATGAAATTCTTTCAAACTTCATAAGAACTTTCATAAATGCACTTAGTTTAAGAAACTTAAAGCCTGTTACTTTTCATAAACTGTTTTTTTTGCATTATGATCTTTAATATTTTAGAAAAATTACATTAGGAAACTGTATTTGTTCTATTATATATAATGCAAACCAACAAATGTGATGTGCCCTCTGACCCCTACCTATAATAAAATCTATCTACATAGGACAATTGCACAGCTCCAATGATGTACAGTTTATACCAACTAATTAATAACACAAGCATAACATTTAAGTGGTTAGCTACCTTTAGAAGATTCTTTCCATCTTTTTCCTTATCTTCTCCTTTCAAAACTATATTCAGCTTCTCTAAGAGCTTGGATGTTTCTTCTTTCTTGTAATTCATGATAGCATCAAACACCTAAAAGCAAACATTTTAGCTACAATTAATTTACTCATTTTCACAACAATTAAATTAATTTCTATTCATTTAGAAGTCATCAGTTGACATGTTTAATAATGAAAAAATCCTGATATGTTATGTAACCAAGCAATTTAGATTTAAAAGATACTAGGACAGCTCAATCCCATCCTATATAACTATAACAAGTATATTCATTCACAAACTACCTTAAATAGTGTGTTTCATAAGCTTTTATTTAAATAACTGTACGAACTAAAGAATTATTTCCAGTGATTTTAGGGATAATGCATATGTTTGTAGGTCTTGTAAATACCTCAGGCAAGAAATTTCTGCCTATACAAGTAACCTCAAATAACAATACAGCAACAGAACAAAACAGTTTGGCTTCAGCAAACACAGATGGAGAGTCTCAAACATTTTCTCACACATCAACCATGTGCAGAATCCCACTTTCTCCTGTTTTTATCCCAATCCAACTTGATCACTTACATAATTTCCATGCAGACACACATTCTGTTTAACTTGTTTAATGGTGCCAATTGTTAGTAGCCCTATGGTTTGAGACCCAGAATTTATTAAGCAGCATCATTTATGTTTTAAGCCCTTTTGGTGTAATTATGAAGAAACCACTAATTGAAAACTCAACTGCATCTACCAGTGTTATAACAATAATAGTAAAATTTGCTAAAACGACTGTTCTGGAAATAATGTAACACAAGAATGTATTACAATACAATAATAATTACAAAAGTTCAAAAAATGGTCTTAAAATCTACAATAAAACACTAAAGCTTGTTTTACTGTTCACCCTCAAACCCTTACATTGGTAAGCATAAACAAATAGGAAATAAACCAACAAAGCATCTTCATTGTTTGAATTTTTTAAAAATAATAATAAAAGTAAAACAACCTTGGAAAGTAAGCTTATATTTTGGGCTCACCACACACTTAAAAAAAATGCTTCAAAAACTGGTTTTAACTTTACCAAAAACAAACAAGTACTAATTATATTGCAATATTCAATATGATGAGCATTATAATTATATTTCTAACATATGTAGCTTTTGTTTATAATAATTAACAGTATCACCTGCACCTTTCTTAACACCCACACACAGCAGTTCCTACATACAATCACCAAACCCTGGCACATATGCTTACAATTTACAATGCATTTATAATTTTAGAAATACCACTTAAATTAAGTTATTGAAACTGAATTGGAATAAGTTTAACTCTTTTATATTTGAAATGACTAGAAAAGAAATATTATTGTAAGGAAATTAATTTTCTTGCTTCTAAATTTACTTCAACGTGTTCGGACTAAGTGTACAAGTAGATCTGACAGTACTCTTTAAGTGCAAACTTTATACTAACCCCACAGCTTACAGCAGAAAGTCTAGCACAGAATTTAAAATTTTTAGTATTAGATTTGTATCTTCCTACATGTATGATCCTGAGCTTAGTTTATCAGAAGTCAGAAGCAAGAACACACAAAAGCAGGGAACCCTTCCAGCTGCATTTGACAAACAACAGAAGTGCAATTCCAGTTCAAAGGAAACAAAACATTTAAACAGAGCAGCGGCCACACTTATCTGCATGGATCAGATGCCTGCATACCCTACTGGAAAAAATAAAAAAATTAAAAATCTCCCGGCCATACTCAACAGTCACTTCCTAGTCACAAGTTCTTTATAAATACAAAGATTAAGACTTCATAATGGAACAAAGAAAGCACTAAGTGCAGTTATTAGGCATATCTTCATACTCATGCACTACTAGCCCCTGGACAGGTACAGCCACAGATACGTACATGTCAGTAACTGTCCAATTCATTTCAGAGAGCTAGGAAATGCAAACCTGGTGCATAGTTTATACTGGGATGAACACAGATCATGTTGCTTAAGTCCTGAAGGAAGCCCTTGAGATATTAGACAACTGATACTTTGACAATTACAGACAATGCTAATAAAAAAAATTGTAATGGTTTAACCTCTAATTCTTGAATTCCACTCTTTTTCATATAACTCAAATTGGACAATTAACAAAGCAAAACTAAACAGTAAAATGTGAATATACTTGTTTCTTGCAAAAAACCTGCCACGAGTGAAACAACTTTAGATGATGTCAGACATCATATCCAAATTTGTTACTTGAACCACTTTCAGTTTTAATGAATCATTAGTTTTGTTTGTATATTGGAGTCTAGCGATAACTTTTTATTTACTTGTAGCACTTAATAGAAGGGATCGTGACGAAACAAAAATGCTACCATAGAAATCACCCATTTAATACCACCAAGATCACCATATGTGGAGTGAATCAAAATATTACCATGTCAATGAATGTTCATTTAAATAAGTAACCTTTCCAGAAAGGCATACAGGGAAAAAAAACACAACAAAAATCACCCATTTAATACCACTGAAATTACTATATGCATGGAGCAAATAAAAATTTCACCATGTCAATGAATTTTCATCTAAGTAATCTTTCTAGAAAAGCATACAGGAAAAAAAATGACAAACGTTATCACTAATTCTTTCACAAAATTCTTCCACCTGGGGTCCCAATGGTTTTTTATTTTTATTAAAAAGGATACGTGCGCGTGTGCGCATGTTTAGTTATATACATGTATGTATGTATGTATAAAAAGCAGACGATACACTACTGTGGGCACATAATTGGATTTAGATTTGAGGGTAGTTCGGTATAGATATGAATAATAAAATAGAATCAGGTATACTCACATCCCATGCATGGAATTGTTGGTGCACAAAAATATAGCTGGTAAAAAGGATACAAACAAGTGCAATAAAAATTACTTTTATAAAGACAAGTATGGATCAATATATGGCTAGTTAGAGTAATACAGAAAGTTAATGCTACAAGTACTCAAACAAGAAAGTCAAAACTACAAAAATAAACGTTTCTTAAAATTCAAAAATTGTATCCTTACTTTAGCAAATCATTAATTATGCTAATCTGAGCTAAAGTAGGGATAATTTTTTACATTTTAAGTAACTCGGTTTTTGTACTTTTGACTTTAATATCAATACTTTTTGTAGCATTAAAGCTTTCTATATTGTCTGTGATAACTCTTGGAGGCTCATAACACTTGTTTAGCATGACTGAATGAGAGGCAATAATCAAAAGCAAATTATTATCAGGATATTGACAGACTAGGATGATGCTTTGAGGACAGTGTACCTAGTAACACATGCCCATCTATCCATAGGTCTCTATAGCATGGATGGTTTCTGTGATTTGGCCCAAAAACTGCTGGGGTAGAAAAACTCCACCCATTTTAGAATCTGTGGGGGTGCTTGCTCCCACAGCCCCACTCTACCCAGCTCAATGAGAGTTCTTCCAGTGTTTTTCTTCTGATAGTATTGAGTATTATGATACAAGAATATGTAAGAGTATCATGGATCAAAAATATTGGGATGTAAAAAAAAAATAACCACAAAAAACGAAAGTAACCCCCTCTTGGTTTGTAAAGGTTAAGATTTACGTTTAGAATGTGAAAATAACATCTCTCACTATACTATACCTTGTAAATAGGGTCCAACACAAACATTATGAAAGCTCTCTTGTACCCTTCACCAGCCTTCTTGCTCCATTTTTTTGTCTGTGGATTATAATAGTTCTCACCCCACAATTTACCCATTAGCTTATCAATGTCGATTTTAAACTTCTCAGCATAAATTTCAGAAAACTGTTTGAGAGTGAATGCCCATCCATGGAGACCAGAACCAAATCCAACACTTCCTTTCATTGGATCCACCTAAAATACAGATACAAGTTATTTAAAATGAGTAACTCATTAACTGGTCAAATAGAGTTAATAAGATAATTTATTAATACATAGTCAAAAAGTAAAAAAGCTTCAGAAAAGCAACACTAACATGTTTCATGTGTAAAAATATCAGTAATAGCTTAGTTCAAATTATAATATTAAGAATACTATTTTAATATTTGAAAATGACATACCTTTATATCACCCATTGGTCCTGTCTCATCACTGTATGTGGCAATGATGACATTGATGTTTTCAATATTTCTCTGGAATGTTTGATAGAGCTCCTCAGCTTCAAGCTGTAGAGTCAATAGAGCCAAGTCCACCTTATTCATGAATAGAACAGGTTTTATTCGTTCTGCAATTGCTTGGCGTAGCACAGTTTCTGTCTGAACACACACTCCTTCATAACAAGAGAAAAACAATTTATCATGTGGAAAATGCTCTTAATAAGCCTGCAAGTATACTACATGAAACTGAGCATTTCACCCGATTTCCTCATACTTCTACACCCACACAAGATTTTATGTGGTTTGATGTAAATGTTCAAAACATTACAAAAATTTATCAAATAGATACTAAACATAAAAACTACAGAATCAGATTCAAGGTATCATTTGATATTCAGACTTGAATATTTGTTAATAGCACCCATTTTTATAAAGTATATATTGACATGGTAGCAGCTTGTTTTACCATTTATAACTAAGGACAACAGTGCTTTAGAATGTAGGGATGGGCTGGGAAAACAATAGCAGATGCACATTATGTATTGGTCATTATAGTCACAAATCTCTTATAATAAGCTAACAAACTTTTATAAACACCCAACTTAGGTTTTCAAAAACTATTCAGACATTCACTTCAGCCAAAAAAACATTGCTAAAGTAGAGCCAGTGAGTACTGTAACAGCCAAATTTTCTGCTAATTATTTTGTTTCTGGCATCAGAAGGGCTAGCTCAACAATGCTCGAAGTTACTGCAATGATTTATATATCAAATATTGCATTTTAACTAGGAGAGTGAAGAAGCAGTAACTTCTACACATGATGTCCATCGAGACAACTCATCATGCCAGGCTAAAACTGCTGTCTTCATAGTGACTATCATTCACTATTATTGATTGTTTAAAAAGAGGGGAAAAAGTAAAAGATATTTTTAATCAAGTATGATCTAGGGATGACAATGCAAAAAAGTACAAAAACAAGGTAGGGATGAATTTACAAAACCATACAAAAAAATCCCTAAATAAATAGCGACTGAGTCAATTTCAAGCTTATAGGAATTAGTCATTGTAAGACTTTATAGCATTATTCAGTTTAAATGCTTTTATTCAAGACTGAATTCAAGTAAAAGGAATTCAACATTCAGTTGTAGAAAAATTTTTCTGAAATACTAAATATCCAAAGCTTTCAGTACTGATACAGAAAAACTATGCACTATATACAGAAAGTTTTTAGACATTAGAAAATTTTAATCCATAAGTGTTCTTACTGCATATTAAAAACAAATGTACAAAAAAAAAAAGCGAAACAGTCATACAATTAAAAACCAGTGATGAAAAGGGAAGTAGTAAATGTAATTTGTTCAAAACATCTACAAAAAAGAGCTACTTTAAAATTACAAGATTATGTTCAACACAAGCCAGTATTAACCTTTAATATAAACATTAAAAATTTATATAGTGCTGCTGTTCATATAAAAAAAATATTATAAATAAAACACTAATCCACATCTGCTCTTACCACTAACACAGTCCACAACAACCAGGGCTCCATCAGTTACACGTAAGGCAGCTGTAACTTCTGAAGAAAAGTCTACATGGCCCGGAGAATCAATCAAATTGATCAAAAAACCCTTTTCGCCTTTTTCTCTTTGATTTTCCCATGTAATGAATTGCAAATCTTTATCTTCCAACTCAAAGTACATGGAAAGAGCCCTAAAAAAAATGTTCCGAAGTATAAACACTTGTTCATTAATGACATAAAACAGAATTACTCAAAACCTAAGGAGTCAGTTTCCACAAGCAAATTAGTAAAATATACTAACTAGTTTTGGATTAATGAATACAGCTTAAATATATTAAATATCAGCTGAAGTCCAGCGTACAGATTGATGTTCTTCACAAGACATCCCACAAAACCTGCAATTTCTATCTGATCCAATGTAACAGTTAATATTTCACATTTCCATTCTCTCAAATTAACCTTTATCTGAAAGTGTCTCATACTTGTATAATTCATAATTAATATTTCCAAATCTTAAATTCATACACACTTAAAGATAATCTAAACAGAGGCATAATACTTGTATCAAAAAAATTAACAAGCATTTAAATAATCTCAACTATTTAGTTACATGCACCATTTGAGCAAGTTTTTCAATCTATGTATTAATTTAAAATTAATGTTCAGTTTCCTTCACAAGTTATGAAAGGTTTTTTTCTTGTTAATCATTTTGGATTTACAATTTTCAAACCTGTAACCCTTTCGAGACAGGTTACGGGTGAAAGGCCATGTCATCACCTTTGTTGACTCGCATTCAAAACTTTACTGAACTACTATTTAATGAATTTGTACCAATAAGTTGGATATCAAACTGAAGATTATAATTCAAATTTTAATACAATATATTACTCAATTACTGAGCCTGTACTGAAAGAGTTAATTTAAAAACTATTTCCCATGACATGTTGTTTTATTTGCCCAAATAATTGTGTTGTGCACTACAATATGAAAGTAGAATAAAATATTTACGTGGATTTTATAGTAATGCATCTTTCTTGTTCATCTTTTCTGGTGTCTGTAAACCTAGCTTCTCCAGCTTTGGCAGCAGCAATAATACCAGCCTTAGATACAAGAGAGTCTGTCAGAGTTGACTTTCCGTGGTCTACATGGGCAATAACAGACATGTTACGGATGTTTTTTTTCTTGTTCATTAAAGAACGTATCTGATCCACCGTAAAGTGCACCTAAAGAAAAAAATTAAGTGTTATTCTCAATCTTTATTAAATTCTACACTATGTGCTTGAGCTAAACAACTACACAAAAGTTAATACAACCCATCAAGTCAAATTTAAAATCACAATTTAGTATTCATTTTAATTTCACTGGAACTACCATTTTGGTTAGTCACACATATATAGTAAAACTAAAAATGTCTAGTTGATTGCACCAGCCTCAATCAAATATTGAAAAATAAAAATTTTGTTCTTAAAATCATGGATTACCTTAAGTAACAAGCCTTTATTGCTCAAAAATAAATTGAAGAATATTTCATAGTTAAAATTGTCAGCTAGTTAGAAAGACTTTTTCTTCTGACATTCAAAATGTGATTAATTGCATTTTACATACTTTTGCTCTATCAAGAATAAGAATACAGTACATGTTTTCTAAGTACAAAAGAATTTTGTGTAGAAAATCAGTTGCACTGTTGTAAATTTATGAGACTGTTAACATTTACCACACAGTCACAATAAAAAAATTTTTTTGGTTATTAGAATAACATGATCAAAATAAATGGTATAAAAACTGCCTCATTACTCCAGAAAGTTTTGTAATGAGAGTCCAGTATTTAAAATATTTTATAAACAAATTCCCCATTTTCACCTTTCCTTCATTTTATACACTAATAACCTTCTGAACTCCTCTTCATCTATTTGTTTGGGTAACTTACTAAATATATACTTTTTATATCATTCAAAAACCTGATGCTTGAAACTAGCCAAAATATACTCTTGCATAGAAAACTTAGATATTTTGTATCCTTAGTGAAATATAAAATAATGTTTGCATTTTGGATATCATATAACAGACATTGTTAGTACTCTATAAAAAAAAAAAAAAAAAAATACTGCATCACCTACAGGCTCCCATGGTTAGTCATTTGAAAACAATAGGGATTTTAAGGCAAATTAATTGAAACTACAAACAGAAATAGGCTTATATTAAGAGGCTTGACTTTCAATAAATTGATAGAATGAGTTTCAGGTGAGGCTGAAAATTTTCTAATCAGAATATGAACCCCCATATCCATAGTTTAGCAAAATAACCTATGGGCCACACTTGACCCTCAGGAACCAAGATCTACACTGATAATTATAAGAATATTTTCATAATAAATATGAGCAAATGCAGTTTTGTTTGAATTTTGAATAGAAAGTTAATTTCTTTTATTACAAATCTACTAAACCCCATCTTCGAGTCATTTTTGCCTTTATACACGCCAACAGGGTGACATGTCAACCATCTGTTTTGTCTTCACACTCAAAATGCTTAATTACACTGCATGAAACTTAGTACACTTTCTACACAGTATATGGTTTGTGCTTGAAAGATGTAATATCATTTGGTTTAGTATTTGTAACATTTTACATTGTGAACTTTCAGACCTTTCAAAACATTAAACATTTAGTCTTAATTCCTAAATCCATGCAATGTATCTTTTTTTTAAATAAAATTACAAATGCTGTGTGTGTTGTTCTAATAATAGCAAACACTTGCTCACCTGTTCATTAAAAGCTCTTAAAAAGAAACAAAAAATATGAAACATTGAAAGAAAGAAAACTATTTTTATAAATATCATTAAACAGAAAATATCTTAAATATTCATTTAAATTTAACTTGTTTTATTTTCAATTATTTATCCTTACCTACTGAAATAGTTACATAACTACAAAAATAGTATAAAACCAAACAGCAACACGCACTTGTATCCTAGACCAACAGAAGCTCAATTTCTTTCTTACAACCAGTTTGTTTTCAGTAACTAAACTTGGTTCTTGTATTTGTATGTTTTGTGAAAGTAAGCCCCAAGTTTCTATTATTGCCTATTACTAATTTACACTTAAACAATAATCATTTAGAAATTTTCAATAATATTTTTTTATATTCAATATTCACATACAGATCAAGCACTTAAGCATTTTTGTTGCATTATAAAAAAGATATTCAAAAATTAAGCCCTGCACATTACTTCCAAGTTCTAGTTCTATTCTAATGGTTATAAATTTTACTTATAAGCAATGGGTTTAGCAATAGCCAACATCATTTTGCCTACCTGCATGCTCATAATCATTAGTCACATAAGTACTGATCAATTAATTTTATAATTATTAGTATCAGTTACGTGAATATAATGTATACCATGAGGTCTTATTCTTGACTTAAGACGTATGTTACTCATTGTTAGTTACGTGTATTTCGAAAATTTAGGTTACCAATACACTGTACAGCATATGAGTATGACGTGTAACGTACAGTCTTTATTTTAGCATTTGTGTACCACAAGGCGATGAAAACTTCAAATTATAATCATACACATTATAAATAACGTTATACAGTTTAATAATTTAAAACTTATCAATACCAATAGAAAAAGGATCACCATTTACTGGTCTTGTATTGCACAATCTACAAAATATGTTGACCAATACGAATTGCAAAAAAATTAAAAAGCCTAACGACCAAGGTATAAAATTATAAATCACTGAACTTCCACTTCTAGTATTTCCCAAGTTTATGGAAATTAAATTTCATAAATTCAAATGTCTCATCCGAATCGGTATTTAACATTATTAGCCACTATTAAAACACTAACTACTGAAAAATGGAAATTCCGAATTACGTAAATTTAATGGCGACGAAACAGACATCGTCAATCTCAACAACTATTAAATAACATATTATAACACAATTTATAATATAGTTCTAAACTTTTATGTATAAATATTTACTACTACCCGATTGATAAAGATTGAAAATAGATGAAACTTACCATCTTTAATTATTGATTGTTATCTCCGCCAAACTTCAATATACCACTCCTAACGGCGGAGTACGTGGAAAGGACAGCCTTACGCCAGCAGTATTTCCAAATTGACTTATACTCTCCAAACCAGGATTATTGTTATTACTAATGTGACATAAGATGTTAAATAACAAAATATCTATAGCAAAATTTATGATTTTTTACAAATAATTACAATTTAGAGATTAAATATGAATCAGTTATTGATTTTTAAAATCTTATAAGTGAAGACTAGAAACGAGAGTACTAAAGGGAACGTTCGTAAATAAGAAAACTTAACCGCAGATTTTAATTTAAAAAATAAAAAATTCTGCGAAAGTAGTATTATTTAAATTTTTTGAAACCAAAAAAGTTAATATCAAATTGTACGTAAATTAAAAATGTTAAGGAAAAAATAAATAGATAACATACTACGTAAGTAGATAGTCTTTTACACAGGAATTCATAATAACTACTTGAAAGACAAACGTTTATGATTCAGTCTATTATTCAAGGTTGGTTATTCATTCCTTATTAAAATATTCTCAATTATTTTTCTCTCAGCAGAGTTAAATGTTTTCGAAACAATATCTATAATGAAAGGAATTGTGGATATAATTTTACTAGAATGATCAGAAGTGTAATGTAAATCAAAAGGCTGGCCTATCTCTTTTCTTTGCATATTTTACAGGTTCCATACCCCTTTCTCTTATTAGTCGAAGAATGTTCCCCCAAATAACTATGTCCATACAATATTCAAATTAACCTGTGTGCAACATTTTTCAACGTGCGCTTATCTTCTAGTCCTGAAGTACACAATGTTGGGTTTGATTTAGATAGCATGCATCTTCGATCTCGAACGCTATCGTAATAAACCTATAAGAAAACCAAAATGTAATTATTAAAAAGCAAATTCTGAAGAATTTGCAAAATTCTTAGATCAGTTATTACCAGAACCAACAATAAATCTATCCGAGAAACCATTGGTAGTTGATGACAACTTCCAAACAATTACTGAGAGCCATTCCAAAGTTGCAGAACAGACCATACTTAAACAAAAACAATACGCAGCTCATAATAAATGGAAACCACACTCACAAATAATAAAAGTGAAAAAGAACGTCGCCACCTAAGAATACAATATATGAATGCCAGAGACCCGGACATAACAACTCAGATTGATAAACTAAGGAACAAAATTCGAAATGCAACAAAACAATTAAAACAAGACAATTGGGGCACTTTTTGCTCGAAATTAAACGAACACATCAACCCAAAGAGTTTTTAGACACACCTGAAACGATTGACTAACAAACATAACACATACAAAACTTATCCAACCTTAAATCACGAAAATAAAATGGCACATAGAAACATACAAAAAAGCAGAAGTTTTCAAAGAGCAATTAAGAAAAACGTTTAAAGCCTATAATAAACCAGATATGGATACACGCTATATTAATATAGTTAATGAGTACCATAAACAAAATAAACACATCTACAGATCAAATTTCCAAGCTGTCTCATTTAATTTTCAAAATTCACAAATAAGCAATAATGATTATGAAACCCAAATCACAAACGCAATAACGAAAATAGAAGTAATTACATCTATATAACATACAAAAACAAAGCTCCAGGTGAGGATGGCACACAAGCAGTTCTTCTCAAAAAGGGTACTCACAAATTGTTTGACCATCTAACAGCATTATTCGATTTATTCCTAAACTCTCGATATATTCCAGCCTTTTAAAAGCAAGTAAATGCTCTTTTTTGAACGAATAATTAGTAATAGTCTCTACACTTTTCTAGAGATCTCATCAAAATTACTTGAAGTTCAAAACGGTTTCGGAAAATTTCGACAAATAACACATCATTTAGTGTTAACTGAAACCATCATAGTAATAAAAGCCAAGTATCGGTCGTTCATGCTCGATTTCTCCGAATTTCGTTAGTTACACGAATCTAATTCATTTTCTTTTTCTTATAATACTTCCTCTGTTCATTGCCCGTTTCCATTTTAATTGAATTAAAACTCTAACATAGGCGTAAACAGCTCCTAAATTTCGGCATTTTATTCTGTTATATAAAAGCCTGTCCAGGAGAGAGTTTTTATACCAAGGATGTATTTAGCACGAGTGAAATAAATTTGTAGTTTTCTATAAAGAGGAGGTTTTGAAGGATGATCAAATGTTTACAATAAATGTGGTTTTAACAGAACTATTGCAATAATGCAATTGATGTGATTAGCAAATAATTGTGATCAGTGAATACTGGGACATGAATTGACACTCTTTAGGTAAGGTAGAGATTGCTCATGATAGGCTTTGGTTTCCCGAAGCTAGAAGACCCTTTATCTTTCTTATGTCTATTTACGGGCGGCAAAGTTGCAAATGCGTATTAGAGGGTTCAGATTGGGTAGGCTTTGGTTTCCCGTCATTTTGACAGGCTTTTATACTAGTAATAGATAGTTTTAACCAAAAGAAATGCACTGTTGCCTGCTTTCTCGATATAAATAAACTATACGACGTTGTATGGTACAATAGCTTATGATACAAAATGAAACAAATGGATTTACTGACAGGTGTTATTCACTGATTGTCATACTTTTTAGGTAATAGAAAATGCCGAGTGAACGTAGAGGGTACCTACTCGGAGTATTTTACTCCCAGGGAGGGGAAGTTAGTCCTATCGTTTTCATCATGTATTTTAGCGATATGTCATTAGAAGATCCAAATTCGCAGACAATGTAGCGATTTAGAAGAGTTCAATGGCCCCTTAAACTGTAGCTACAAACTTATAGCCAGTTTTAAATCAAATAGTCGAGTATTGCCAAAAAAAAACAGCATACAAATAAATGTTCCAAAATCTAACCTAGTTCTATTTTTTAAAATTAACAAAAACGTTTAGAAACCCTCCCGAAATATATTTGTACGCAACTTTTTACATCACCAAAATTTCTTGGAGTAACATATGATTCAAAATTAACTTCGAAAAATCATATCGATCCAGTCAGAAATAAAATACGGCAACGAGTAAATAATATCAAAAAATTGACTAGTAAAAATACAGAAGCTACGCCAGAAAATATTATTACATATTTATAAACAATATATACGACCAGTGATAGAATACGCCTGTCCTGTCTGAATTAATGTAACATATATTAAGAAATTACAGACTATACAAAATGCAGCAATCACCACAGCTTTCAGAGAACCCAGAATAACAAATCTAAATTTCATGCATAAATAAGCAAATATAAAACCAATTCACAACGGACTTATAGATTGCTCGTTTAAATATTTTGATAAACATTTGTATAGAAACGACTCACTAACCTACATAGATCGCTATATCATACATGATAATGATAGTCCTAAATATCTCTTTCCACTCTATTTTTACTGTAAGAAAAAGTCCACCTGCACTAGACCATAATATGTCGCTTAGAATTAGGTATCACAAGTATATTTTAAAAGAGTTTTATATGTGAAATATGCGTCTGGCAACTACTTCAAGTGAAAAGTTATATTTTATTATGAAACTGTTTGTGTGTGTAAATGACCGAATGAAGAGAAGAAGTAGCGATATAGCAGTAAATGCTATAAGCATTCTATTCATGGACATGGCCCTGAAAAGTGCAGCTGTGGAGGCATTATAATGTGACAATCAATCTCATTATTCGTTGTAAAGAGAAGCACAAGAGTTGGTGATGGGTGGTGTTGACTAGCTGTCTACCCTCTAATCTATCACTTTAAAATTACAGATGGCTAGTACATATAGCTCCTGAATGACATTATACGGAATTCGATAAAAACAAAACAAGGTTGTTTTCATTGTGTGTCACACATTGTGTCCAGTCTATTTATTTCTTTTCTTACTCTCAGTTAATTTTAGTATCACTTCATAATTTATCCTACCCATCACCCATTATAAAGTGGACCTACCTAATATTCTTTGAGGAAATCAATTTAATCTTAAAATACTACAGAGTAAGTAGGATGTTGTTGTTGTTTTTTTTAGTGAAAAGCTATACAATGGGTTATGTAAGCTCTGTCCACCATGGGGAATTGATCCCTTGATGTTAGTGTTGCAATTCTATAGATTTATCATGGTTCCACTGGAGGACAAGTAGGTACAAAGGAGAAATTTTGGTGCCATGATTACAGGATATTGTTGTGGAGCTTCATGTTTCTTTTAATATATGTATTGCTCTTATTTGAACTCTTGAGCAATAAAAAATACACATATAATTTAAGGGATTGAACTTACTGCAAGTAGAAGTACTCATTACCAAGAAGGATAGCTAGCTACTAAGGAGAGATAACAGTACAAAACAGGTGTCAAGTCTAAGATAAATTCCCTTCTGGACGTAGGTCCTCTGCAGATTATGTGATGATCCATGACTTCTACCTCTTTGCAATCACATAGTCAAGAAGATCAGCCATCACCTAGAGCTCCCCAGAAACACAGATCGGGCACTGTCCCTAAGGATTGATCTTGGTGAAAAGAGAGCACAGCCAATTGAGGATTTCCGTAATAAAATGGTATCTGGTGAATGGTAGACCATATGGGTTGGTCTCTACAGGACTACCAGGTTGTCACTAATCAGAGTGACAGAATCTCAGCTGTGATCACTATAAATATGACCAACCAAGAAGAACTGGATTGAGTGCAGTTGGACAAAGGTCACCAGTCATAGCTCTTTTTGTGATACATGGTGAATATGATGAAGCACGGAGAAGTCGTGAGTTTATCTGAACTAAGAGATATCCTGCTAAGGTGACCATACATCACAGATAAACGCGTGGGCAAGTGAATCTGGGACTGAATACTCATCTGATACTTGGAATCTCTGAATATGCCTACTACACTGTACCCTCAATGTTTAGGACATCTCAACCAGACAGTAGCTAAGAACCCATGAAAGAAAGGCTTTAGCTGTCTCCTCTGGTCCCTGTGAGTGAAGCTAAGCAGATTTCACCTCCAATGTTCAAAGATATGGTGAGAAAAAATCTGGACCATTTTCTGAAGTAGTTCATGTAAGTAATTCCTTCAGATAG